CTGGTTACCCGCACAGGCAGTTCGCCCAGCCGTCACATTCGACCGTGGCGCCATCCCTCCGTTGCGGTCGAACTATTTTTGAGTTGGAGTCACTTCAACCCCGAGATCTGAGCCTCTACTTTAGTCATGAAGAGTAGAGACCAGGAGGCCGAACTGTATTGGAGAATTTTAGTGCGCGTATTTACGTATGTACACCTATAGACTCACGCAAGTACCATTCCCCCACTTCTGCGTTCAAGAAAACCGATCGAAACACCACCTATAACTACCCCGCGACCCCGAGTATGGGCTCGAATCTGATAACGCTAGTTCACACACATTAGTTCCGATGGTGGCGGTAGTCGTCACTCGTGTGGTACAACAAATTATTGGCATTATGAAATTCATCGAACTGAGAATTTCACTGCCGGTCTGTGCAATAATTTGATAATTGTATTAATTCCTTATCAAATATTTGTAAATACCGTCGTAGAATATGAAAAGATTTACAGACGCACAGAGAAAAAAAGTGGATTAGCATTAGAAAAAAGTTATAGAGGAACATCGTTAAAAAATAATAATCAGACTTGGAATTAATTTTAAACCAAAATATACTTGAATTTAGAAAAAAACAATACTTTTTAAAATCTAGAAATTTTTTTGACTTTTTGAGGGGGAATTTTGCAAAATGGGGGTTGCGATATCCGCGGGGGTGTGGGGGGGGGATCTGTAAAGTGGGTGGTTTTGCAAAGAAGGATGTTTTATGAAAGGGTGGGTTATCGTTGAGGTTATCCAAAAATATCTCCGAAACTAAGGAAGATGGCGAATTTTTACCAAAATTTGGGGGGTGGTGGCGAGCAGGGGGTGTGTGTATTGAGAATTCGGACTTGAAAAAATTGAGTCGGTCTCTTTTTTCAAAAATATCTCCGAAACTAAGAGAGATGCCGATTTTTTATGAAAATTTGGGGGACAGGGCGGAGATGTGTATCCTGAATTCACAACCAAAAAATTGAGTCGGTGGTTTTTTCAAGAATATCTCGGAAACTAAGGGAAATAGCGATTTTTTACAAACATTTGGTGGAGAAAGGGGGAGGGTGTGCATTGAGAATTCACAACCAATAAATTGAGTCGGTCATTTTTTCAAAAATATCTCCGAAACTTAGGGAGATAGCGAATTTTTATTAAAAAATTAGGGGCGGGAGGGAAGGGGGAGCCAAGCTGTACTGAATTCTCGATGTATAACATACGCCCTCCCCCCTAATTTTTGGATAAAAATTTTTCCCAATTTTGCAGTACAAATTCGCTATCTCCCTTAGTTTTAGAGATATTTTCGAAAAACTCACTGATTCAATTTTTTTTTTAAGTGTGGTTATCAACACAAAGTCAATGAAAAAGAGTGTCAATACGAGTGTTCCTTAAAAAAAATTGTTCAGAAAATTTTCAGGACCAACGTACTTGGCGCGGTTTTTTGAAACACTCATTGCATAGAGTTGTCACAAAACAACCCTCGCAATGAATGAACCTTCTTCATGCTTTTATGTCGCGAATTACAATAACTACCTGGTGATCACTACCTTAATTAATTTAATTTCTATTCATGAAAATGAAAATATTTGAAAATGGAAAAGAATAAGGTTAAGGCATTAACTTAAACTATCCGGCAATTCCATCCAACACAATCATATAATTGACTATCTAAAGATTTGAACACCTAGCAAGGTGTAGTATGCTTGAAAGCAATTTCTGAGTCCCAAAGTGGATCTCAAATCTCAAACAATAGACGCCCAAGTAAGGATCCGCATTAAGATAAAAAACCGCGCCAAATACTTTGGTCCTGAAAATTTTCTGAACAATTTTTTTCTTAAAGAAACACTCGTATTGACACTCTTTTTCATTGACTCTGTGTTGATAACCACACTTTTTATGGTCGTACCCACTCCGTAACTCACAGGAATAGACAATATTGAGTTGGCATTGATATGTTTAAACTTATAAAATTTGCAACATTACAAGGCGACTGTAGAAAAAACAGAAATTGTTTCTAGATATTATGACAAGTTATGTGGTTTTTCAAAATGGAAACTTCAACTTCATGAACTTGGCGCTCTTCCTTATTTCTGCACTTTTTTCAAGTTCCCAGAAACAACTATCCATAAATAAGTACTTGGGCATTTGTCCACAACAACGCATTGAAATGGTTACTTGGCATTTTTTCAATTTTTTTTCTGAGAAACAATACAATTTTTTTGAAATTTTTTATTGCTGAGAAACAATAAAAAAATTTTTTTAAATACAATGCTTATAAAGGCGCACTTGGCCGGTTTTTTCAAAAAAAATCTTTATACGGCTCTTGGAAATCGAGAGTGGATTCCCCAATCATTTCCACAACATTATATTCCTCCATAGCTTCTTTCAATATGTTCTCGAAATTCGTTGCAAATTCTCGTTCTTCATTAGTTATAGGAGTTTCCACAAGATTCATCAGTTCCAATGTTGCCATGAGGAGCTTAATAACGTTTATAGGATTGAATCTCATGGTGAAAACAATTGGAGATATACAATTAGAAAGAGAATGTTTCCCCGTGATATGTTTATGTAGACTGAACACTGTGCGAAACGGATGAGAACAAAATTGCAGAAATATTCGGGATTATCAATAATGCAAGATTACTGAACTGATACGCTATTTTTGGATATAGGTGACGTTCGCATGAATATTGTTACTTTGTTTGGATTTATTATAGCTTTCAGCAGTGTGTTAACATCACATATAGTATAATGATGAATCACCTCATAGAACCATTACCCAGCTTTCCCAGACACAAAAATTATAAGATAAATAATACTATAGAGAAAAATTCCGATTATTCGGCAAGTTTTTTTTGTATTTGTTGCTGCTTTTCCTTGGAATAACCACAACATTGCTGCACCTGAAGTAGAAGAAAATTCTATCCCAGTGGATCATTGTTTCTTTAATCTGTTATTGTTGTCATCATAATGCCGGATTCTGAAGGAATATAATCTTCACGTGCGGACTATTAGAATCGAAATTGAAAATTCAAATATTTGGAATCAGTGACTTATAAAAGAAATCAATGTTCTTACTTCTTAACTTCGATGCCGAGATAAATGCGAAAAAAGATGTACTGGATTATTTCATGATCTTTCCGATGCAATCATTTCCATAAAATCCTGAGTCATAAATTTTTTTAATAAAAAAAAATTATTTCAAAGGGGTAGTTCACCCTCCAAATTTCAACCCCCAGATGAACTACTAATCGTGATTTTCTTAATCATTTTTTTATTTGTCCCAGAAAATTTCAGTTCAGGCGAAAATCCAAAAACACATATTCTGCTTTGTTCCATGTTCTTTCAAATGAAATTGGTTTTATAAAATTCTGAGACAGTTTTTTTTTGAAAAATGAAATTTTTATAGGGGTAGTTTACCCCCCAAATTTCAATCCCCGGATGAACTATCAATTATGATTTTCATAATTCCTCACCAGCTATATATTACCTTGATGAAATGGATAAACACCCTCACCACTGTGATGGGTGGTATTTCCGAGAAATTATTTTGTTCACCCCAGAAAACTTCAGTTCCTGGGAAAATCCAAAAACAGGTATTCTGCATTTTTCCGTGCGCTTCCAAATGCAATTGGTTTTATGAAATTATGAGCCATATTTTTTTTTTAAACAAAATTTTTACGGGATAGTTTACCCCCCCCCCCTCTGAATTTTAACTCCCGGAGGAACTATCAATTATGATTTTTATAACTTCTCACAAGCTATATTCATTATCGTGATGAACATTTATAAAAACACCCTCCTTATAGGTGGGGTTGAAAGATCACCCCCGAAGGTGGTCACCTTCTGACCATAGTTTCCCCCCCTAAAGCCGCGTATTAGCCGATAAAAGAAATACGTATCTTTTAGTTTTGAGTCCTTTACAACATATATGAGTTCGATCAAAATCAGAGGAGAACACCTCCCTAGTGTTCCTTGTGAGAGATCCCCAGAAATTATGAATTTGGATTTGAAAAAAAAGTAAAAAAATTCTGAACATTTTGAAAGAACGTATTTAATTAATATTAAGGCATAGGTTCAATACAGGAGATATGTATAATGCATATTTACCGTAGCAAATGGCGACCGCAACTGGTGGCAAGCGCAACCAGGCGATTATATGAAAAAAGGCTTTTTGAAAAATTTTATAATATTTTGAAGAATTTTTTGATCACACTTCTACAATGAACTACTAATCACTTACACCAATCTCCTCAATTGAAAATTGTACTGTCCATCAAGCGTCACTTTTATCAGGGACGCAAAAAAGAAAGAAAGAGCGATTTTCTTATGTTGTCAATTCCCAGAAAAAGTGACAGCTAATCGCCAGTACAATTATCAATGGAGAAGATTGGCATAAGTGATTAGTAATTCATTGTAATAGTGTGATCAAAAAATTCTTGAAAATATTACAAATTTTTTCAAAGAGCCGTTTTTTGTACAATCGTTTTGTTGCAGTGTGCCAAAGGATTTATTATTTCGTCTTTCCTCCCCCATAGTGGCGACTGGCAGGCCACCATTTGCCACGATAATTATACATTATTCCTATCTCCTCTATTGAAATAATTCCTTAATATTGATTAAAAATGCTCTTTTAAAATGTCCAGATTTTTTTTCACTTTTTTAAAAATCTAAGTTCAGAATTGTTGCGTATCCGTGAGTGACGGGGCATCGGGTTGAAATTTTTTGATCAAAATCAATTTAGATAACCAACAAATCAATTTCGATAATGTTCGGCAGATAATGGATTCAGGCCGTAAACTATTAGGAATTAGACTTGAAAATGATATTTAAATCACTTCAGGCCCTAGAGAAGAATTTACATCGAAGTAATTCTTATGGAAAACAAGTTTGCTTTATAGATTACTTCAATAAACTAGTTGCAGTCATTAACAATCTAGTATTTCTCCACAAATTTCGATAGATTTATAGAATTAAGTAGGAAATATACTTACTAAACATAGACAAAGTTCCCAATTCTGCCATATCATGAGTGATGATTTGACCCCACTGCATAGTGGCAAGTGTCCATTGCGGATCTTTGATCCTCACCTCAGGAAATAATCGATGACTGAGAAGTCGTGATCGAGGCAAAGGCCTTCCACTTCTTGCTCGTGCGGGTGTCCAAACGCCTACATAAACATTCACTTATCATGAAATTAAGTAAGAAAATTAACTGTTACCATTATGCTTCAATTACAAGCTTCCCACGTTGTTATTTTTTTTATAGAAATATCATGTCATTTTTCAATGGCGGTGTTGAAATGTCTATCAAAACAAGCGCAACGTGGAATAATTAATCATAAGATTCATATTCTTACCACACAACGCATAATATAACATAGAATGCAATGTCTATCGCGTGACAATTGTACCTCAAATCTCTATCCGAATCATCCCGAGCCGAAATTTTACCGGGTCTCCCAACGTAGTTTCAACGTCCACTGGTGGGTTTAAGACGTTGAAAATACGTTGTCCAGTGTACAGGCTCAAATACACCGATTAAACCTACTTTCGACGTAAGTACCGTCTCTTTTTTCCATTTTTTTCAGATTGTACGTTGAAATTAGGTTGAAACTAAACGTATCCTCAACGTTCCTCCACCGTACATTCTTTCCTTCCTTCCTCCCCCCCGTCCTCTTCACACTACCAGTTCCATTCTAACATCGATTAATTGATTAAATCTTGCATAAATTAATCGATGGAAGAATGGCAAAACTTAAATATTATTAACTCGGTGCAACAAAAATGGGAAAAAAAGAAAATACGGATCGGTCCATTGGTTCTCGAGATATTCCTGTTTGTAGTTCTGCCGTGTTCTATTTCGATCACCTATCCTTTTTCTGGTTTTACTCGCTACTGCTCAAGCTCAGTGATCGTAGGATATCCCGGTATGCCTCTGAGCTGTACAGTTGTTTGTGGCGCGTTGTATTTTTTTCGGGTTTATATAAACAACTAATAGTGGCTGTAGTGGTCACGCGGGGAGTGTGTGGTTCCGGCGGTCATCCAAGCTAAGCAGCGTTCAGTCTGCCCAGTACTTGGATGGGTGTCCGCTTGGGCACACCTAACCGAGTGGGACTACAGTCGCTAGGCACGAATGTAGAGAACCACTGTGCCCATTGAGTCAGTGTGACCAATGGACACAGTGGAATCCCCTTGCATTATCGGTCGGCTGCACGACTGAGGTTTTCCATGGTTTCCCTGGCAGTCCAATCCCGAATGGGGTGCAGTTGGGGATAAAGTAAGTCGGCCCATGGTAACGCAGATAGGGAAGGGAACAANCAGAGTCCATATAGGTCTAAGGCGTCTAAAGGTCGGGCCCTTCATATAAAAGTTAGTGAGTGTAAAGATCCGATAAGTGTAAGAGTTAGTTGAGTCTGAAGGATCACGCGAATCTAAGCGTCAGTTGAACCTAAGGGTCAAAAGAGTACGGAGGGTCGGGCGAATGGAAGGGTCAGTTCAGTAAGGGTCAGATAAGTAAAAGGCTCAGTTGAGTTTAAAGATCAGTTGTGTTCAAGTGTCAATTGAGTTTAAGGGTTAGGTGGTTCTAACGGTTATTTGAGTCCTAAGGATCAGGCGAATCTAAGAGTCAGTTGAGTCTAAGGGTCAAACAACTACAAAGGGTCAGGAGGATTTAAGGGTCAGTTGAGTGTGAAGGATCACGCGAATCTACGAGTCAGTTGAGCCTAAGGGTCAAAAGAGTATGAAGGGTCTGGCGAATCTACAGGTCAGATGAATAAAGGCTGAGTTGAGTTTAAGGGTCAGTTCAATCTAAAAGTCAGATAACCTTTGGCCCACCCGACCCTCAGAATCGATCTGACCCTCAGACTCATTTGACCCTTATCCTCGTCTTAGACTCATCTGACCCATACACTCAACTGACCCTTACACACAACTCGTCCTTAAATTCAACTGGCAATTGAACTTAACTGTGGTTTTTAATTATCTGACCCTTACAAAACAGGCCCTTGGATTCGCCTGACCCTTCGTACTCTTTTAACCCTTAGGCTCAACTCACCTTTACACTCAACTGACATTCAATCTCAACTAATGCTTTCACTTATCTGACTCTTAGATTCGCGTAATCTTTTGGACTAAACTTACCCTTATACTCATCTGACCCTTATACTCAACTAACCGTTCTAACCCACGGACCCAACTCACCCTCAAACGCACGATTGTTTGAACTTCGAACTAATGTTATTAATGTACTAACACTAATAATTTAGTTACGTGAGTCTTTAACACGGTAATGAATTTTTTAATTATCGTCAATAATGACCTTGATACAATCAAATGTGGACGTCGAAACTTACAACATACGTTAACAGAAAACAAATGTCATTAACGTTGAGAGTACGTTTAATGTACGGTGGATATTGAGTGTTTTTTAACATCCATGGGCCTTCACGTTGAGATAAGTTGAAAGTATGGTAAAAATTCGGCGGAGAATGTCGACATCAAAGCAATGTGGTTCAGAACATTGAAACTACGTCGAGAGACCCGATAAAATCTTGACTCGGGATGATTATGATACTTGCGTGTAACGAATTTCACGAATTTATTTCTCAACAATGTTTTTGATGACTCAAAGCGGTACAGTGAAATAACTAACGATGTCGTATAAATAATTTCCTGGGGCGGGCAAAAAAAATGCAGGGTTGTTAGTAGAAACCTCACCATCTGAGTATATTGCGGGTAGTAATCGCGCGTAACGTGTTTGCGCCATACCCCACGTGGGATTCTCAAGGTTGTTGCAAGAGCCGTTGATAGTACGATAGCTAGAACGTTGGCATTTCCTGAAGGATCCATTCCCACAGCTCTGATTGTTTCGTGGTGTCCAGGGATTTTGAACGGACCATTGTGCTGGTCTATATGGAACAAAATAGAAAATGCATGTCGTCAATGGCTTCTTTCGTTATTGAGGCTTCCAAATGGAAACATGGTATTCGATAAATCTGAATTTTCGAATTTTTCGTGTCAGGATAACCAATTTTGGCCTCAGGATTTTTGGATATACTATTCTCAGACTATTTCCGAATGTATGTATACATCTATGTGTCTAGGTCTATGTGATCGATCGTTTATCGAAGATAACTGAAAACAAGTGGGAAATTGTTTTTGTATTGCATATGGTATAGTTATCTCTGCTAATAAATTAACAATATGCTTCCGAATGGTTATTTTGCACATCATTTCCTTCTACCAGGTATAATTCATTGTTTATTTCATGTTTTAACTTGACTAAGATTTATTTTCAACTAATTTTGTCAGATTCTCAACCTAATTGAATGTTATCATCATCATTCTTCTTATTATTCCTTTCTTCTATATAACCGATTCTTTTTTACGGTTCTACCTCTCCCTTCAGCGCTTCGATAAAATTTTCATAGAAAAATTTCATTTATCCATACTTAAATGAATTTGAAACATTACAATTAGAGAAACAATCAGATAGCTCACTTTCATGGTAATTCATGAAAAATTCTAAATTTTCAACCATTATCATGAAAATCAAATCAACCAATATAACTATCGCAATCATCTTTTAACTCCAACTGAACGGCATAAAATGAAACATTTTAAGCTATGATTGAATTCATTTGACGCATGATATTCAAAGATATCTTCGAAATTATGATTTTGAAAAAAAAATTTTGCAAATTTTTAAATAAATCAAAATACCGATTATTGCTATCGCCTTCATCTCCAAACTTGGTCAAAAGGACATTTAAACAAAAAGTTTAAGCCGTCATTCAATCAATTCAGAACATCTTTTTTTAGTTATCGTGGGACAACCGATTTTCGAAAAGAATTCGATAAGTTAAAAAACTAATCGATGAATTAAAATTTAATTAATGGTGATTGATAAGGCTCAACAATACATACTTTTGGAAAAAAATATTCAATCCCATCCAGTCCTTAGTGAACAATTGAAGAAACACTTTTGACGTACGTTGCACATACACACACACATACGGACGAGGTCTACAAATTGTATTTTTGGCCTTTTTGGATCATAGTAGGTCGATACAACTCAATAAATCCAAACCTTAAATTTGAACGACAGAAAAAAAGTAGATTAGCTTTAGAAACAAGTTTCTAAATTTTAGAAACCGTGGTTTCTAACCACCTTTACTTTTCAAAAAACTAGAAGCTTTTTTCTACGTTCTAGAAAAAAAATTGTTGAAAGTTAATGATGGAAATTGAAATTAATTCAAAATCAAAATATACTTAATTTTAGAAAAAATATTTTTTTCCAATCTATTTTTAAAAACTAGAAATTTTTTTGAATTTTATGGGAGGGGGTTTTGTAAAGAGGGGGATTTTATGGAAGGGTGATTTCATCAGTGGGGAGAGAGTTTTACATAAGGGGGTGTAGATATGGGGCAGCACACAGAAAAAAAATGTAAATTTAAGATTTTTTTTCTAGATTCTAGAATCTGCAGTTTAGAACTTGCATCCGGCTAAAATCTAGAAAACAATTTATTTCAGAAAATAAATAAATGAAATTAATCAACCAAAAAATGATGGTTTCAAGGCAAAAATATTCTGGAATCTATCGAATTAGGGAATTAAGTTCCCCTCATTAGCACATTTTCAAAATGAAAGGCATTTTGGATATTTTGAATTGAACTTTTGAAAAAATGGAAAAAAATTGTCCTAAAAGGCTGGGCTCAGACGATTCAGCATTATCTGAAACGTGCAGATTCATTATCCCCTAAAGTGGACAATTTACGTGAGTTGTGTCAAAAGGTCTTATAAACATTTTTTTTGGTTTTCCCGAAAATTTGTGCCAAAACATCGTATAAACACTTTCCCAGGAGATATGATGTTAGAAATCAATAACGATTTGATGAGCCGGGTGGTCGGGAGGAAAAGTGAGGTTCGGGTTAACGGGTTGATGATTAGCCGGAGGTAATTTGATGAGTTTTCTTTAATAAACGAATAATTATGCACTGAAAATTACACAACACAGAGTTTAATAAATAGATGAGTTCCGAGTGGACTGTAAACAAATTAATAAAAAGATGATTTGCAATGATAATGTTCGATAATAGATGCGATAATTTTCCGGCACTTTCACTCAATGAAGTTCGATGGCGTACTAAAGATACGACACGCACGATCGTCCTCGTGCGTGTTCGTCGATGCCCGAAGGTTGCCGAGCGAACAAAATTCGACATTTAGCCCGAGTGAGGGATGATTTTCAACATATGAAATCTCCACGTTTCATATGATTCTGATTGTGAGTCATCTGAGCCTATCTTTTCGAAACCAAATTTTTTATATTTTTACAAGGAATTTGAAAATTTTTGAAAATTTAGGCCAAGAGGTCGTATAAACACTTTTCCAGAAAATATGAAATCTTCGCGTTTTGGATGATGCTGAGTCATCTGAGCCCAATTTTTCAAGACAATTTTCGTCATTTTTTTGTAGGGAATTTTTCAGGTTTTTGAAAATACGGATAAAGAAGTCGTATAAACACTTTCCTAGGGAATAATAAATTTCCACGTTTCAGATATTTCTGGGTCATTTGAATCTAATTTTTCGTAATAAAGCTTTTGGTCTGCTTAAAAACAATTAGGAGACTTTTTAAAAATTCGAGCCCAGTGATCGTATACATACTTTTCCAGTAAAATTTTCTTTTTTCAATTTCTTCCCAAAAAAAAAGTTTTCAAAGGAAAACAAAAAAAATTTTTAATTAATGAACAAAAATCAAAAAGGAGGAAAAACAGGGCAGAAATAATGTTTAGATAGAATAAAGTGGAGTCCCACCTTGATTTTTGGAAACTTTCCGAAACAAAAAGTCAGTTCCACAGGAAAAATGAAAAATCTGTAATCCAGATGCGGAAAGGTGATACAACGCGGAATTTTTAACTTTTTTCGCAATTTCAGGAAATTTCTGGTACTGTGGACAACTTTAAACCATGATTAATCGAAAGAGCCGCAAATTTTCGCCAATGATACATTTTGAAGACTCAAAAAATGTCTTATCATTTCTTCTGACACCCAGAATTTCGACAAAAAGACGACAAAAAGTCGAAAATCAAAGAAATTGACTTTTCCGAAGATAATGGGGAGAATTTTTCAAAGCTCTTTTAGTAGTAGAAACAACCATCGGAAAAGTCTCTACAAAATTAAAATTTTCAAGGAACGAAACCGGACCAATTATTGGCGAAATCACTCACAATACAATTTTGTGTAAATCATTCATTCCAGATTAACTCAAAAAATGTTTTCAGAAAAATTCAGAATCATCTAAGCATGAATATTTATTAATCCCCAAAAAAATGGGAATACGCCTTTTTAGTTTTGTAAAAAATTTCTCAATTCCCTCTGAGTAAACCAAAAAAAAATTGTCTCAAAAAGTTACATAAAAATGAGTCAGACTCATCTGAAACTTGGAGATTTTGTACTTTCTCAGGAAGTGATTATACAATGTTTTGGCCCAAATTTGGACAATCGTCGAATCTACTCTAAACAGAGCAAAAAATATGTCTCACAAAGTTAGAGTCAGATTACTCAGAATCATCTGAAACGTGGAGATTTCATATCTTCTGGGAAAGTGTTTATACGACCTTTTTGCACAAATTTTCGGGAAACCAAAAACAAAGTTTATACGACCTTTTGGCACAACTCACGCAAAGTCTTCTTAGAAAGAAATTTTTTTCAAAAAAGCAAGTTTAGAATCGAAGTTTCTAGAATCTAGTAAAAAGAGAAATGGAACTTATCGGAAGAATTTCAGATTCAAGAAAAAAATGGATGAAAATAAGAATAATACGGATCATTTCGAGAATTTTTCCTATAAAAATAATTTGATATGATGGTTGAGTTTATCATTCTTCGAAGGATAAATTTAACCATGATGAATTGATCAATTTCATGATTTTTTTTTCTCTGTGAGGGTATAATAGAGGAAATTCATAGAGGGTCTTATATATGGGGGGTGGTGAAGAGGGTTGCATGGAGGGTTGAAAAAAGGATGTTTTATAAGAGGGATTTTTATAAAAGCGAAATTTTGTAAAGAGGGGTGTTTTGCAAACGGGCAACTTTGTGAGAGGAGTGGGGCGGGGGGGGGGGGNGGGGGGGGGGGGGGGGGGGGGGGGGGGGGTGAGAAAGTGTTTTTGTGTTGGGTGGCCTTCAGGAAGAAATCTCTAATGCAGCGATGGGTAAATTCCAGGTAGCTCGGAGCTGCTACATTAAAGCCAATTAGGAAGGGCTATAAAGTGTACAACCTTGCCAATTATACGGGTATAAAGAGCTAAATGAAGTGTGCCTCACGCGACAAGTGCGAAAAGTGAAATTTCCTCCAAGCGCTTAACATATTTTTCTTTTTGAAATACGAGTTGTCGAATTCGCAGACTGTTGAAGTGATATTTGTCATGCGTTGAAGATTGATTAAATATGTATAAAAATAAAGAATTAGTGCGAAAAACAATTTTAGTGTCCGTTTGTCGCGCAGACATTTAGATATTGAAAATAGTCCAGTCTCCTCAATTTTTGAGCTTCATAAATTTTCATTCTAATTTTTTGAAAAATGTATAGAATTACTACTAGGAATTACTTTTTTGTGTCGCGGGGCCTGAAAAATCCTATTTTTTTGCTTTTTTCAGGCCCCACGACACGAAAAATAATGTTCACGCCTCGCCATGAAAAACATATCACCCTTCCCCACGTGCTTGCCATCCTCGCCTTCGGCTCGGAAGGCAATCTTGCACGTGGGGGAGGATGAACTGTTTTTCAAGGCTCGGGCATGAAATGTACTATTTTCAATTTATTATTATCGAATTGGTTATTTGAGTAACCAATTACATTTGTTACTTCTTCAATTTTTTTTATTATAACAAACGAGTTGACCATAAATATTTTGAGAATACATATTCTAGCTAAAACATTTTTTTCTTTCGTATACCCTTTCGGGTTTTTATGATTCGTTACCGTCCCACCCCCCAACCCACTGTACCGCATTCGCCGAAGGACAAGGGAAAACCTCATTTGAGGAAAAATCTGCCCAGGTACAGTCATCTCTTGACAATGAAACCGTGAGATTTAGAGTGTCACAAATTTTGGCTCTCCTTTACAGCTAATTTCGTTGTGTTCAATATAAAAATTTAAAATGAAAATCAAAGAAATGAACAGATCCACGCCAAAACAGCAGGCCAAAAAAGTCGATGCTGGGGATATTGGTCTCAATTTTTTTCTGAAAAAATGGCGATTAGACAAAAATTTTCAAAAATGAAAAATTGAATAATATTGATAATTAAGGGAGTTATAATTTTTTGAAAATGGGTAGTTTTTGCCCAAAAAAATGTTGTTTTAATTGGTCTTAATCCTTCTGCAGGGTTTCAAGCTATCGAATCGCCCTTTAGCATATGCAAAGAACATGAAAAACTCTTTAAAATGAAACGGCATCCATAATATGATTTCTAGTTCGACGGGGCTTATACGAGGAAAAGCTTTTTTTCAATCGTTAATATTATAACGTATTCGTTCGGTTTTTCTCTTCGATTTTTTCACGGGTGAAAAAAAAAATTTGATCAAGATAAGAGGAAGGGCTGAATTTTTCAATTTATCAGTATTGTTTTATAAATTCAAGAATGTTAGGCACATATATTTTTTCATTACAATAAAAAGATGTTCACGGATATCCACTTTAATTTCCTCACAGTAAGTACGATTAATAATTTTTCTCAACTCACAAGTTTTAACTTGAACAGGATCTTCAAAAACAAAATACATATTCCAGAAGCTTCAATTTTACCACACTCTCCAAAGTGTCACACTACCCGCAATCCTTCCCGGGCTGAGTCAGTCGGAGGGGGCCCCTACAGGGGATCATAACCCCTGAAGTCCTACGCCCGGTACGAAGGGGCCTATTCAACCTATTGTAACCGAGCTAATTGAGTCCGAGCTAATTGAGTCCGGGAAAAATCACTGCATTGAGTAGAAATGAGAATTTTCATTTTGATAAGTAATAAGTTTACTGTTAGGACAAAAATTAATTCTGTTCTTAAACCTCTCTGCGAATGGTGCACGGAGGAGAAACACTGAGGGGTGTTATAATTGTCTCTTTAAAAAATTATTGACAGATTAGATCTCTACGACGAGTATAAAAGTCCATAAGAAATAAAACTACACGGCGCAACCTGAAAAAATGCTTCAAAAATTTTGAAAAAATTCACATTTACTTTCCATATAATTAATTATCCTTATCAAACACGAAAATTATGAAATTCAATTTTTTTTACAGATGACCCATCCTAATATCTAGCAATCTAATAAGACCCCTCTTTCAGTGGAGAAACACAGAGGAAGCCCACGAGAGGCAGTTCATGGCTCAAGGGCAATGGATGTCGCCGTTATACCACCGCCTCACTGAAATATACTTATATACTGGAAGGTGAACGTGTGAAAGGAACGATTTTGTGAAATAGCCTATTAAGGTGAGGCCTCCTGTCCTTTTCTAGCCCTCTGCGCATGCGCTCTAAGGGCTAAACAAAGTGATGGATCATCTAACTAGAAAGTTTAGCTGTCTGTATACCCACAGTGTTTACCACGGTTTGGGCTGGCTCTTTGTAATAGTCGTCCAAAATTATCAAAACAATTACTGCTGATTACAAAATGCGATTACGCTCGAGAGGGACTCTTCGACAGAAGTTAAACCAAACCCTTCTGTTTTATAACGTTTAAATAGTTATGGATTGCTAAAAAATGGCCATTCATATGGAATGAATTGTGCATTCATCTAGGAAATGATCAATTCTGGAAAAAAATATCATAGAATCTTTTTTATGGCTGGATAAATTTCTGACAAAAACAGTCTATTGACATTTCCTCTCAGAATTCCTCTTTATAAAGATAGCCCAACATTTAATGGGATGAAGGAATTGCGTTGTAACAATTAACCAGCCCATTGCACATCTTGACATATTCTCCATACGTAGCCCTACTCCACTGAGCGGTTACCGATACTGCTTGAACGGATTGCACGACAAGGGCAGGTGGCCTCATGAATTTATTTCTCTCTCGCACAGAACCGAGAGCTCAGTACACCTTCCAGTATAGTTATATTGCGAGTCTCGCTTTCGAGGATAATTATGGTAGTCATGGTTGCCATGCCTAACTCCACAACGTTTAACGCCTATAAATTCAAATGTTTGGCGCCTCGCGCCATCTTATCCCTAGGGTGACTCTCCTCTAACTTCATATTATTTCGTTGTGCCGAAGCATCATAACGTCGTTCTTTTTTTTATAATTAAAATTATTTTAGTTAGTTATTGAGTAAGTTTAATATTAAGTCACGTCAAGGAAGAACGCGGAACATTACAATTTGGGAGAGATCATCGTCCTGAGAGGAAACTTCCGGAAAGTTCACTAAAAAGACAACACCAAATGGATAACTTAAAAGGTGGTTGAAACGTGGATCGGCGTTCAATAAGAACAAAGATCATAAACAAAACCTCCAACAAATATTATTGTTGACCCGGAGAGGATTAGTGTGTATTACTCCGACATGAATGGATCCTCAATTCAGAGATTTTATTCTGATCTCAAATATTCCACACGAATTTTGAGAATCAGAATCCTCGTGACTCTGATGATCCATACAACTATATTCTCAGGTGAGAGGCCTCATTTTAATCTCAAATATTCCACACGAATTTTGAGAGGCAATCATCATACAATTGTCCAAGAGAATGAATTGTCCATACGACTATATTCTCAGTTGAGAGCTTCCTCTATTTAATCACGAATATTCCCCGCAAATTTCGAGAATAAAAGTTCAAACGTTGAACTTTGATTATGATGGATTCATTGGACAGAATGATTTGTCCATACGTCTGTTTTCCTAGTTAAGAAGCCTCATTGCAATAATAAATATTTCCCATCAATTTTGAGGATCAGTGGCCAAACGACCCTGATAAAGTCATTCCGGGTTTTTCAATAGAATTATTTACCCACACCATTTTCTCTACTGAAAGGTATTCTATCAATCTCAAATATTACATGCGAATTTCGCGAATGAAGGTCAAACCAAAGTTGATCAAATTATTATAAAATCATTCAAGAGATTACTCTTATAGGGAATACAACAAGTACTCCCCAATTTATACTGACCTTCCTTCGTGTTCTGCTCCCTTCTATCACACAATTAGAGAAGAAGGAAGATAAAGGGGCACATTCACGAGCAATAGATGACCTGATAAACTGAATACCAATTCAATATAATCATTATTCTTTCCTGGTAATCCCACGTCAAGAGACACCGGGCTGAAGTCCTTCGAAATTGACTCGAATCTAATGATAGAAATATTCCATTGAGAGATGAGAGTCCAACATCCTCTAGAAAAACACAATTGAAGGATGCAAAAGGACATCATCTTTTTTTGGACTGGAACAACTATGTCGACAAAATTTGGACACATATGTGGCAAGCTCTCCAAGTCGAAGCACGCCGTCGAGGTGAGGGACATCATTCTCGATCCATCACTGGAGAACCTTTACACACACCTGAAGACGGAGCTCATCAAACACCTTAGCTGCTCTCAAGAAGAGAAGACGAGGAGACTGTTGGAGGGCGCGGAAATGGGAGATATGAAACCGTCTCTGTTTGTGCATCACCTACGCAACCTGGCAGCTTTCCTGACGACACACTGTGGACACTATGGATAACACGCCTCCCGGCCGACGTCCAGGCGTTGTTGGCCACAACGCAAATCTGCTCTTGAGAATACCGCAGAACTCGCCGGCAAAACGATTCAGATTCTGAAGCCGAGAATCTCACCAGCCGCACCACAGATCGTAGAGACATCCGCCCATGGCCTCGAGGCACTCCTCAGCCTCAAACTCTCTCAGTTGGCTCTCACCCTTGACGAGAAGCCCAACTCGATGCGAGACGAGATCGGACCAACAGTGCGGACGGAGGACATCCAGGTGGTGGCTGCTTTAGACGTTCCAGTTCCCGATCACATTCCAAGCACCGGCAGCCAGGGGTTGACCATGGACCATGTTGGTACCATTGGCAATTTGAACACCTAGCCAGGACCTGCACGCAGCCCTGTAACTTCGCCACCTCGGGAAACTGGACAGGCAGTCACTAATGGCGGCTAGTGACTTAGGACCTACAATCCGCCGTCTCTTCATCACCGATCAGGAGACAAAAGTGCGTTTCCTGATCGACACCGGAGCGGATCTGTGTGTTTTCCCACGACAGTTGGTGAGTGGGCCACAGCGAAAGTCCACGTACGAGCTATCGGTGGCGAACGGCACAATCATTCCAACGTATGGCACCATCAGCATCGCTCTCAATCTTAGACTTCGACGGACGTTTCCTTGGCGCTTCGTCATCGCCGACGTCTCCAAACCTATCATCGGAGCTGATTTCCTATTTCACTACGGACTGATGGTGGACCTACGCAACGGCAGGCTCGTGGACTCCCTAACCTCACTTACCTCAGTTGGTCAAGTCGAAACAGTTACCTTGTCGAGCATCAAGATGGTGACAGGCACTTCTCAGTACCACGAGCTCCTTCTGCAGTTCCCCAACCTCACCAGACCAGACGGAACAGGTGAACCTCCGCAGCACAACACCAAGCACTACATACAGACCACGCCAGAAGCACCAGTCAACAGCAAGCCACGGCGGCTAGCTCCAGATGGACTCGCAGATGCCAAGAAGGAATTCCACACCATGGTTCAACTTGGCACTGCTCGACCGTTGAAAAGCCCGTGGGCTTCACCTCTCCATATGGCAAAGAAGAAGAACGATGACTGGAGACTCTGCGGAGACTACCGCGCATTCAACGCACGCACAGTCCCAGATCGTTATCCAGTCCGTCACATCCAGGACTTCTCCCAGACGCTTCGGGGAAAGGAGACCTTCTCAACGATCGACCTGGGCCGGGCGTATCACCAGATACGAGTTGTCGAGGAGGACATCCCCAAGGCAGCCATCACCACACCGTTCGGCATGTTCGAATTCCGGTACATGTCGTTCGGTTTACGCAACGCAGCCCAGACGTTCCAGCGCTTCATCGACGAGGTACCCCGAGATCTGGATTTCTGCTACGCTTACATCGACGACATCCTGATAGCGTCAGAAACTCGAGAGCAGCACCTCCACCACCTGAGAATCCTGTTCGACAGACTCCAGTCATATGGTCTCCTCATCAACCCACAGAAGTGCGTCCTCGGCCAGGGAGAAGTGGAGTTCCTGGGCTACATGGTGTCCAAGGAGGGCACGCGGCCGCTGCCCAAGAAAGTTCAAGCCATCCTGCAATACCCAACACTGGTAGCCAAACAGCTTCACCAGTTCCTGGGTATGCTGAATTTCTACAGGAGATTCATACCCAAAACTGCTCAGGACCAGGCCCCACTCAACGGACTTCTGAAGGGCAACATCAAGGGAAAAACGCCCATCAACTAGACTCCAGAAGCCCAAGCATTCTTCACCACCAGCAAGACCAGACTCACAGACGTAGCGCTTCTGCCTCCCCCAAGGCCGACGCTACACTTACACTCATTTGCGACGCTTCCGAGCATTCTGTGGGCGCAGCGTTGCAACAAATCAACAGAGACTGGGAGCCACTAGCCTTCTTCTCCAAGAAACACAGCCCAGCACAGAACAAATGGAGCGCCTTCGACCGTGAACTTCTAGCTATCTACCTAACCATCAAACACTTCCGATGTATGGTAGAAGCCAGGACGTTCACAGTCTTCACTGACCACAAGTCCATCACATTTATATTCCGCCAGAAGCCCGAGAAAGTATCGCCAAGGCAGTCACGATACCTGGATTTCATCGGACAGTTCTCCACCGACATCCGCCACGTCTCCGGCAAAGACAACCTCGTCGCTGATGCACTGTCCCGCATCGAGGAAGTCTCACAACCCCTGGACTACTCGGCTCTGGCAGCATCGCAGCAGACTGACGCGGAGCTGAAGACATTCCTACGCACAGGGTCTGGCTTGCAACTCAAGCAAGTTCAGATTCCAGGAGCAGGCGTAGCTGTCTTCTGCGATACGTCAGTATTATCACCAAGGCCATTTCTGACACCACCATTCCGCAGAGCAGCCTTTAACACCATCCACAGTCTGGCTCACCCAGGAATCAACGCATCGGTCGAACTGGTAACGCAATGCTACGTTTGGCCATCCACCGGGGCAGACTGTCGCGAGTGGGCTCACTTGTGCATCCAGTGTCAGCAAGCCAAGGTTACACGTCACGTGTCAGCTCCAGTAGGATCGTTCGCACTACCATCATCTAGGTTGAAGCACGTCTACATCGACCTCATCATCCTCTCCAGCCCTCGCCTCTGGCATAACGGCATGGTCGAGCGCCTCCATCGACAGCTCAAGGCAGCCATCAAGTGCCACAATAACACCAGATGGACACAAGTGCTCCCCACCATTCCCTTGGGGATTCGAGCAGCCTGGAAGGGGGATCTCCAGACATCAGCAACAGAGATAGATAGATGGCCTACGGCGAACCCCTCCGCCTGCCTGGAGAGTTTCTTGCCCCTCGAGGAGTTAGCCACCAAGACGATACGGCTGACTATGTCAAGGACCTACGCCAGCACTTCGCCGACTTGCGCCCTGCCAAGGTCAAATCTCACGGAGAACACAAAACCTTCGTATTCAAGGATCTGTCCATCGCGGAACAAGTCTTTGTCTGGCACGACGCTGCAAAAAGCCCTCTCCAGATGCCTTACCAAGGACCTTTCTTTCTTCAAGGTCATTCACCGCAACACGAAGACGTTCATCGTTCACATCAAGGGCAAGGACGTAAACGTCTCCATCGACAGGCTGAAACCGGTTTACGTCATCGCTGATGACGAGCCAGGTATTCAGCACTCCAGTCCAAGGACACCTGTACCCGAGCCTGAGGTACCACTACAGCCAGCGCAGCCACCATCTTTAACAACGACGCCAGCGATCACGCGCTCTGGAAGATGCGTCAGATTCACCGAGCGCTACCAGGCCGGATCATAATAATTATTTTTTATTATTTTTCATCATCCACACATCACATTCACACATCATCCTTTTCGTGATCCAAATCACTGATAGCGGGGTACTGTGGTGACTATCTCTCCACTATGCCCCTGTCTAGACCGTGGGCCAATACCCAAATCTCTCCATCTCTGTCATACAGAAAATTAAAACGTAATCCTTAAAACTTCCCTACTATGAACAGTCCATCGCATTTATGGTTATTGCGTCCTGGCGTTCATAATTCCTCGTTCGTCTGACCGGCGCCTGTGAAGTCACGGCGGAAATTTCCCCGCCGGGACCCCCGAGCTAATCACAGCTCACCGGCGGGAATTTACAGCACCGAACCAATCGAAAGCCAAGATTGCACTAGTCCCTTCTCCAAATTTTCCACCAATCACATCCTTGCACTCCACTTAAATATCGCACACTTTCCACACTCATCATCATTCCACGTTCATCATTCGAACCCTCAACTTCATCGTGCAGAGTACAAGTCGTCTTACAACTTACGCTCTCGACAACTTTATATATTTTGTACATAAAAAGAAACCCAAGGAAATCTAACAAACTCACTTTCGCTCAACTTTGGACTACACATCTTCCCATCAACCTGCTCACCTCCACAAACTGAAGGATTTCATAGATTAAATTTTGTGATAAATATTTCTAATCTTCACTTTCTTTGATTTGGTTTGTACACCAGTCTGAGGATTTTTACCAAAATCGATTCTTAGGAATTTGAGACTGGAAGGACCGTGGATATTACGTTATTTCGATAACTTCCCACGGATCAATAAATTCAGAAGTCTATGTGAGTAAAATATAGAATCATAGAGATTATGGAGTTTATTTACTATAATGGATTTTTGGATGATTTCCGGGATTGCTAATCAAACATGTTGATATTGAAGTTGACGAGCAGCTTCCACGGGAGATCCAAAGCCTTTTCCGGTTAAAAAGGGAAATCATATAA